TCCTTTAACCGACACTCCTCAGTCCACATATTTCCTTTAAGATATTCTATCTTCAACTCCTGGCTTGATACCTTTAAACTAACCATTTTAAATACATTTGCATACTTTTACACTCCACTTAAATGCACGAATCATACACTGCCACTTTGCCTTAACCTCATTAATATTCATGTAACTTATTTCCATTCACAGACCGTTTTAACTTGAGTCATACAACTATGCATATTCATTAGTTCACGATTCAGTTAGCAGTGCTGCTAAGTAGAATGAAATATCCTAAATATTGTGACATGATTAAGCTGTTGATTGTTGTATACTATATTTCTCTTTGGTAGGATTATGCTGATGTTGCAAGCCTTCTATCACAGTCAAATATCAATCAAGAAAAACTACAAAAGTATGCATCTGAGGCCGCAGACTTTTCAACAAACCGCCAATTACCACATTTAGACTATGCACTTAACCATTATGGCCTGCCTGATGTGGCCATGTTTGATTTTACCTCTCTTTTTCAAGCTGTGAACGCCGCAAGAATTCATGAACGAAATGGTCACTATCTTTTGATGGGTCTTGTAGGGGATAGCTTGGTTGAGGTATGGTATCTTTTTTAAATATTGTTTTAAATATATCAAATGTTTTTTAAGCAAATTTTTTTATTATGTTGATGTAAGTTATTCATTGTTAAATTTTTCTTTTTTAAATAATTTTCAATTTGATATCAGTTTACAAATTGATATTCACATTATTCTTGACGTGCTGTTTGTGTTTAGTGAATTGTTTTATGTTTGAGAACTCTTTAGTTAAGTCAGCATTGTTTTTTGGGCTATCCTCACGAACCAAATTTTACACAGTTTAAGGGATTACAGCATGGAAAGTATTGTATACAGTACTATCCCATGGTGCATTTTTTTTGTCTGGCATTTCAATTTCAACCTGAGTTTTCATGCTTATCTGTGATATATTTATTAAATAAATAAGAGGAGTTTGTATGCAGTAAATCTGTAAAAAAAAATTTTGTACTGTATTCAATACTTTCCATGCCTTTACCTTTACCTTACTAACACTAACTCTGTTCTACAGCCGTTCTGGCCAACTGGATCAGGGTGTGCTCGAGGATTCCTTGGTGCATTTGACGCGGCATGGATGATAAGGGAGTGGTCTCTCAGCAAGAAGACGCCCCTCGAGATTCTTGCGGAAAGGGAGAGTATATACCGACTTCTACCGCAGACAACACCAGAGAATCTCTGCAAAGATTATGACCAGTATGGCATTGATCCTAAAACCAGATACCCTGCCATCAATGCAAAGGCTGTGCTGCCCTCAGAAACCCTACAATATTTTGATACCACCAATGAGAAGTTGAAACAAGAGTTGAAGACTATGGAGCAGCCAATTGAACAGCCACAGTACAAGCCTAAATCAGGTGTGTTTTATAATTACAGTATGTATTCTCTTGAATCCATTGACTCAAATGCTTAATAGAACAAGGACATAAGGGGACTTAAAAACGATGATGAATATTATAATTAAGGGAAATTATACACAGTTCCATAGCCCTTGCAGGTACTCCCAAAGACGGTTATTGAACCAGACAAAGAAATAATTAACTTAACTGAAGTATTATTAGTATTACTGTACTGTACATATATTGACATTTTTTTTTAATTTATATGTACTTTGATGTTAATTATTATTTGTATTAAAAATAATATCTTCAATAAAAAGTTGGCATAAACTGTATTGTTAATAAAATTATTTACAAGATTTTTCCTAATTTGTTTTTTTTTTTTTTGAATTAGTTCCAGTTGTCCGATCCAACAGGCTTCTGATGTGGTGTCAACGAGTTACTGATAGTTACAAGAACGTTAAAGTGCTGAACTTAACAACATCATTCAAAAGTGGTCTGGCCCTCTGTGCTATCATCCATCGATTCAGGCCTCAACTTATGTGAGACACTATTTTAAAATTTACCTTATTTTTTTTTATTCAATTTCTTCAATTTTTGCAACTTGGCTGACTGAAGTTGTGATTTAGGTTTGAAATTTCTTTTATTTCAGTAAAATTGCCTACTGGCCCATTTCACATAATAAAATTAAAATAATTATCCAAAATAATTATCCAACATACAATTTTTTCTTTTATCAAATGGTTTTTCTATATAAATTGCTTCATTTGATCAATATCTATATTAACAATATATTTCTCAATGAGTGTGCATTTAAGTTATGTATTTTTTCTTTCTAAATATTTTTGTAAATTACTATTCATCAATGTCAAAAAGAAATCAATTACTGGCAATTTTTAAAAATAATAGATTAAATAAATATTTAAATATGATTATTTCCTTAATTTCCTAAAGTTTGTAATGCTATCAGATTGTTGTTTGTCAGACTTACTTTATATTTTTAGCATAGCAGGAATCTATTTATAACAATTGGAAATCTATTCAGGGAAAAAATAGTGTTAAGCAAATGTGTATTTTTGTACAGTATATATTTTATTAATACTAATTTTTTTTTATCTTTTTAATATTTTACTATTGAAATTCAAGTTATATAATATATCTCACAAAAGTAACATTAGAACTTTGTTATTGTAACATAAAAACATGATTACACATAAGAATAAAAAATGTTACTTTCTTGTAGAAACTTTGAAAGCCTGTCCGAAAAAAATATCGCCAAGAATAATCAACTAGCATTTGATGTAGCCGAACAAGAGCTTGGTATCTCACCCATCATGACAGGTGAAGAGATGGCCACAAGCAAGGAGCCAGATAGGCTATCAATGGTAGCCTACTTATCGCAGTTCTACGACACTTTCAAAGATGAGGTCCCAGTCACTAAAAGTAATGTATCATCAATTATAAAATTTGATTATTTACAAATCATCCATTTTTTTTCATAATTATTACAAGGGGGCAGGGTCAACTAGGGGAAGGGATCAGCAGTGTATGTACTATTTTATGATATTATTTTATGAACAATTTTGTAGTACATTATTAAGTGCAATATAATGCAAATTTGCCACTTTCATTTGAAATCTTATTACATAATTCCTTCTTTGTTTTAAACATGTGTTAGTTTTTATGTCTTAATTTTATTATCGTTATTAATGATTTAATTATCTGTTCTTATATTAGTTGAGGCAGATAGAAATACACCAACATCACCGGTGATGCGCACCAATAAACCACGTCACTCTCTCCTAGCTAGGCTAAGTTACAGGTTCAAGAAATCACCAAAGAGCAAAGATCGTGAGAACGAGGAAAGGGATGAAGCGAACAAGGAGAACAAAGAACATAAGAAGATAAAGAGCCCTGGAAGTAGCAAGAAGTCTAAGAAGGTTTGATCACTCGTTCAATATGAAAATGAAAGGGAAACAAACCTTGTGTATGTTTTTATTTTTGGTACAATGCTAGAAGAGTATCAGTAAATGTGACCTGGAAAGCTTGTGGTATAATTATTGGCCTGCAATCAATAGGTCAGGGATTCGAGTCTAGCTGGTTATTTTAGTGTTTTGGGGCAAGGTACTCTATCTGCATTGCTTCTCTACACTCTGTAGAAAAATGGGTGTTTGGTAAGAGTTAAAATTGGTACCTGGGTGGTAGTTAAATGGGTACCTGGTAGGATGTTGAAGTGTGAATGTGTAGATCATTGCAGCAACATTATTAAATGCTAAAAGTTAGATATGTGATTAATGTCAGCCTAAGCTTATGAATGTTACCGTATGTTTTTCCTTTAGGTGGAACTGAAAGACAGCAAAGTTAATGGTGGAGCAGGCTTCACCGACCAAGTCCAACTACGTAACAAGCCTGAGGATAAGGTTGATATCAGTCAAAACCGCGTTAGTGGTTTACGTAGCCAACTCACAACTCAATTTGAGATCATTGCTGGGGTGCGCCGTGAAGA